ATTAATTCCATTTTTAGAAACTACCGAATAGGGGTATACTAGCTTTTCTAGATTCCTGCCACGTGCCTCGTATTGTGCAAGGAGACAAGCATATTTCCCACTTCATAACAACAAGACACTTGAAATATAAATATTTAGGAGCATTTTAGAATGAAGAACCATAGGTTCCAGCTGGCTGATTGTCTAAAGAGCTACTAACTAGAAGTCCAGAATTTATTTGAATCCTACAGAATTTAAGTGCCATTTATGATCCTCAGTGCTACCTGTAAACTTTGGTGGCTCTGTATTAGATTATCTCAAACAGGAATATTACTTCAAATTAAAATTAGGTTTTGGTTTTGACATAGATCTTATTAATCTGTATTGACTGAATGGTATGTAATTACTTCCATTCAATTAACACTTCTTTAAAACATTCTACATATTATTTAGCATTGTAATATGAATAATATTTTTAAGATATAATTTCTTTCGTTTTAAGTGCACTCTCATATGTGCCTACCATTCTGCTTAGCAAAGGTATTCAGGAAGGCGGAGCAAAAGAAAGTCAGTGTTCAGCTTTTAATCACTGAAAGAGATCTGGAAGGCCTCCTCTGGGGAAAATGTCTTAAAAGCCAGTATTTTGTTTTGTTTTGTTTTGGTGTATGTGTGTGAGAGAGAGAGAGAGAATGTGTTTAAAATGAAACAAGTACTTATACATTTCTAAATCTTACCTTTATACACCAAAAATACAATTGAGTATTTAGAAAAATCTCACTAAAAGCCACAAGAAGTAGAATTCTGTACACATGTGTACAGCATATGAAATTAAAAAGAATAGTTGCCTTTAAAAAAAAAGAACAAATTATTTCCCTTTAGTATGAATAAAGGTGGAGGAGTAGTACCTTCTCCAGAGAAAGGTCCAAAGCTTAGAAGGGGAGGTGAAGTGAGCGCCCTGCTGCTCTCAGGAACAGGCTGCGCTCACAAGGGCACTGCTGTTTATTTTTCCTTTTTCTGACCTGCTCTAGTCCCAGTAATCTCCATGAGTGAGTTTCTGGGATTTTTTTAACCTACACATTTCTGTGGCTCCTACTGAGAAGCTTTGAGAGGTCCTTCCTGTTCTTCGTGGTCTCAGTTTCACCTGAACAGGTGTGGGGAGCACGCACGGCCCCACCCTGGCTGTCTCACCTCCCATTTTCCTATTTCACCATAGTGTGTAGTCGTCAGAGTTTCAGTATAGTGGACATTATTCTGTAAACTACATGAGATACTTAGATATTCAACACTTCATTACAAAATAAAGCTTCGTGCTGGAGTCGTCTGTCCAGCTGGAGGCTAATCTGAGTGTTCTGGGTGGGCCAGAATAAGCTGCAGGGTTTGTCTGTTAGACGTGTGAAACGCGTTTTCAACCTCACAAGGGAATGATGGGCTGTATTTATCAACATATAAGTCAAGGGGTGGTGCCTGTAGCTCAGGGGTTACGGCACCAGCCACATACACACAGGCTGGCAGGTTTGAACCCAGCCCGGGCCTGCCAAACAATAATGACAACTGCAACCAAAGAGTAGCCCGGCATTGTGGGTGGGCACCTGTAGTCCCAGATACTCAGGAGGCTAACTCAAGAGAATGGCTTAAGCCCAGGTGTTGGAGGTTACTGTGAGCTGTGACTTCAAAGCACTCTACTGAGGATGACATAGTGACATAGTGAGACTCTGTCTCAAAAAAAAGAAAAAAGAGAGAAAGAGAAAGAAGAAAAAAGGTATAAGTCAAGGAATACCTCTATGTTCCTTGGGAACTATATCTCTTTCACAGCTCAAGTTTGGGAAATTTAGAAGCCTAACAGTTTTTCTAAAGCTTAAGTAGTCCACTTTCCTTTAATATGGGTTTGTGATATGTTTGAAAATGAGAATCCTGACTTAGTTCCTTGTATGACCTCACATCTGAAGTTCTTTCCCAGACATATTTCTCAAATGTAATTTATTTTTTTGCATCCCTGCACCCCGCACCCCAAGTGCTCCTCCTTGTTTTTACAACTCAAAGACACTACCTTGGAGGCTCTTTGAGTGTTGCTGCAGGGCTGAGTCTTTAAGGCCCTTGCCTTTGAAATCAATCTAAGCTCACATAGCTTGGATTAGGACTCAGTTCTCCTTTCTAACTCACAGAACCTGTGGAATTTCTAAATATTCTCTCCTCCCTCTTCTGTTTATACTTGCAAATTAGCCAATTACTTTCTAAGCTCAGCTCTTTCTGTTAATGTATGATGTCTTAGCCCATGTTTGTGTTGCTACAAAGAACACCCAAAGCTGGGTAATTTTATTTTGGGTCACTGTCCTGAAGGCTACACAAGAAGCCTGCATCTGCTTCTAGTGAGGATTTCTAGAAACTTCCAGCTGTGGTGGAGGTGACAGGAAGTGGGCACTGCATTGTTGCTGTTAGGGTCTCACAGAAAAGCGATGTCATGGAGAATAAGCACACTTATTGAAATTGTATTTTAAATAAAGGTGACCATTTGCTCACTTAGGCAAAACGGCGAGCTTCTTTATTTACTGTTGGTTTATATGGTCAATTTTGCACATGCGCACTATACATCAATGACCTCATTAACATTCATTACAGTCCCTCTGCACATGTGCACTGGACATCAATAACTTTCCTCTGTACATGCGCATTGGACATCAATGACTTCATTAATCCATTTAAACATCTTGTGACTAACTACCTCCTTAGTAGCTCCTCCCTAGTAATCTGATAATCCACCCAACATATGCCTTTTAACATAACCCTTTCAACATAACCTGGTTTAAAATAACTTAATGGAGAACATGTTGTTAGCTGTTACTTCTTTTGTTCTTATCTGATGAAACCTGAGGCTATGGAGGAAAGAGATGGTTTGAAAATCTGTCCTACTGACCTCACCATTTGGAGGCAGTTACTTCGATCTTTAAACAAGGCATTAAGAAATTTCTAGGGCATACAGAAATTTGTTTGCAAACCTCTGCTCCCACGTGGGCCTTAAGTTAGGGGGTTTTTACGCCCACAACCGACAAGGCCAACCTTAGGTCACAGGGGTTTTAGGCCTGCAACCAACCTGGCCATATGGGATTCTGCCTCAGTTTTTCACAAGTATGCCTGAACAAAGTCTTTTCACTGCTCTCTCTCAAACAGCTTTCTTGGCCAGAGGCATATAGGCCTTTCACCTATACTGCGTGGCTAGAGGAAGGAAGCAAGAGAGAGGGAAGTGGGTGCCAGACTCCTTTCAATATATTAACTGTCCTGTGGGTTGTATTTAACTTATACTAGTTTTGAGCCAGGGGGTCATGAATCATATATAAGTCACATGTGTCTTGACCTAGTAAAACACTATGGCCCAGAAGAAAAATTTTTTTTCTTGTGTAGCTATCAGTGTTCTAAATAAGCAGCTTTCCAGGGAGCCCCAGGGTCAGGAGACTCAGAAGCAACAACTCACCCATCATAGCAAGGACATCACCAAGCTATTTGTGTACCATCTATCCTCTTGACCCAGACTCTTCCAACCAGGCCTAACCTACAACACTGAGGATCAAATTTTAACAGGAGGCCTCTTCTCCTCCTTCTCCCCTCTTTCCCATATCCTCAAAGCCTTCTGAGGGTCCTGGGTCCTGCATTTGTTAGCCACCTTCCCTCCTGATTGAGAGATCAACTGGACCTTGTCTGTGGTTTATATGATAAAAGGGGCAGGAGTTTAAAAATATCTGCAAAATATTCTCACTCTGCATAGTCTGGATTTCTAGATTTTGTTGTTGCATAAATCAGACTTTGTAAATTAGAGGCAAACTTCTTTCTCTGTGCATTTTCTCTCTAGCAATGTTAAATCCTATTCCTGCTGCCCACTGCCAGTGGGTGCTCAATTTGATGGGAAAGATACTGCATGGAGACTTGGAAAAGTGAAACATCTTGGCTTCATTCAGAGATTTCCACAGTTGCTATGCACACACACAAAATTAGGTTGGGTGTGATGGCTAGCACCATAATCCTAAATACTAGTGCTCTGTGGGGCTAAAGTGGAAAAATCACTTCAAGTCGGGAGTTGGAGACCAGCCTGAGTAAGAGCGACACCGTGTCTGTCTCTACTAAAAATGGAAAAATTATCTGGGTGTGGTGGTAGGTACCTATAGTCCCAGCTACTCAGGAGGCTGAGCCCTCCTTGATTGAGCCCAGGAGTTTGAGGTTACTATGAGCTATGACACTACAGCACTCTAGCCAGTGCAACAGAGCAAGACTCTGTCTAAATTAAAATATAATATAAAATAAAATAAATTTCCTAGTTTATTCAAGAAATGGTAACTATCTTACTCCAAATAATGACAGAACTTTCTTAGGATGACCACAGTAGTTCAGAGATTTTTGTCCCAATAATCCTGTCTCGTATTAAGTACATTTACAAGGGAAACCTGCATTTACTTTACAGGGAACCAGAGAGGAAGGTTATGCGGACCCTGCCTTGGCTGCCCAGGATGCAATGGTAACTAGAACCCACTCAGCCTGACTGTAGAGAACCTCTGCACAGTGGTCTGGGTGATTCTTTGCTACTTCCTGACTGTGCTGTTTCAGGTCTTGTGGGAAGCCTGCCAGCGGAAGACGGGGGAGCATAAGACCATGCTGCAGGTAGTCCTGTGCAGCAAGAGCTACCAGCAGCTGTGTCTAGGTAACTGCTCAGGGGGGCTCTTTTAAGCCATTCAGCTGATGATATAATAAAAAGCAACTAGTTAAATAATGTTTTTCAAAAATAAAATTGTTATATAGAAATAAAGAAAGAAGTCAATTATCTCAAAGATACTTACAGTATTTTTGAATTTTATTTAGATATCTCTAATGGCAAGACATGGTAGATGTCATCAGAGAATGTTACAATTGATACTTTCAGGAGCTGCTAGTTACAATTGGTGACGCACCCCATTTAATGATGTCACTGAGGGATAAAATTTTCTCCATTATTTTTTCCAGTGACTGACTTATGTAACATTCAAATACTGAACACATTGTCTCTTTTTTGATGGACAACTTACTCAAATATATAAGCTTCTTTGACCAAGTATATTAAATGTTATCTTGAAAAGTATGTAATAGATACATTTTAACTAGCTGATAACACATCAAGGTTATTATTATTGATTTGTGGGTGTTAGTCCTGACTTGGTGGTCTTAGAGGGTGCACTCATGTTACTTTGTACTTTGTTTGACTTTCCTTAAAGTGCTGCATTTTTCTTTTCCCCTTATTTCAAAAATGTTTTTTCTATATGAAGCACACAAAATTCTATTAAAAAAAAAAAACTAAAGATAGCCTCCTCTAACCTAAGTCACACTGCTTTACTTTACTACGTCAATAACGTAGTAACAAAATAATAATAATAACAATAAACCTCCTTGCTTCTAATTTGCTGTAAGAATCGATGAGAACTACAAGTTTCCTGGGATAAAGCTGGATAAGTAAGTTCTTGAAATAGGGAAACTTAGTTTATCAGAACTTTAAGTAAATAAACTCTAATCTATATCCTAAAGATGATTCTGCATTTCTCAGAATCCATTTCTTGGAATTTATGACCATTATTTCAATCATAGCTCAAAGGACTTTTATGCTTAATTGTAATATTTAAGCTCTAGTGGAAAGTTTACTGTTGACATAAGTCTATTATATATGCCCTAAATAAATGGTCCATAAACATGTTTGGACACCTGCTTCTCCTCGATTTAAATCAAATGAGTGAGTGGACTCGCTAGAAGTAGCAGTTGCTCTCCAAGGGATCAGAGTAATAACCTGTCTTTGAATTTCAAGATTCATGCTGACTCTGCTGATTTAGAGTATGTGTGTTTGTTTCAGAGAATAGTTCTATCAAACACAATCAATAGCTGTACTGTTTTCAGTTAGAGAAAACATTTCTCTTCACTATCTATAGCAACCAAATTTATATTTGTATTTTAAATTTATAATATTTACAAAATCCCCTTCGACTTATCCAATTTGGTGAAGTTTTCCAGGAATTTCAAATTATTTCTGGGCGAGACATAGTAGATGCCATCAGAGAATGCTATGATGGATACTTTCAGGAGCTGCTAGTTGCAATTGGTAAGTAATAATTTATTTGGAGTGCAGAAGACCTTTTCATTTTATTAAATTATAACTGTGTACCTTATCGTATTTATGGGTACAATGTACTGATTTTATATGCAATTTGGAATGCTTACATCAAACTGTTGACATAGCCTTCACCTCACTTAATAATTTGTTGTGTTAAGACACTTATTCTCTACTCTTAATAGATTTGACATGTACCCTTGCATTATGCACAAACTGCCTAGCTCTCACTGAATTAAAAGTGCATGAGTAACATCTTGACTGAGCCATTTTCATTATTTAAAAGGAGTATAAACCTTATAGAAGAAAAGTTCACCAGCTCCTGATATAAGACACAGACTGACAACTAGGACTGTAATGAACCAAGACTCTTTTCTGCCAGCTGGTTCGGACGTCGGAAATAGAGGTTTCGGACACTCTGTGCCTGGCTGCTCACAGTTCAGCACACAGGGTGCTCAGTACACTTCGCATTTACTGACTTCCATTCCCTTGGCCAAGAGCAGATAAATGCTGGCAATGTGGTTATCTTCTCTGCAAGAAAAGTGCTTTTTGTTGTGTGTTTTTTTTTGTTGTTGTCACTATTTCTAATAAATTTGCTTTTAGGAGTAAATCCTACCATAAAAGAGGTTTACCACATAATGATTCCCACTGGCCATTATGAGAGTTGCACCAACATCACCACCGTTACTCTTTCCTAAATGAGAAAAGATGTCTCTCTATAGAAGTTACCAGAAAAACTACAGTGAAACTACCTGCCTTTTATCTTGTGCTGCACTTTGGCTTGACAGCACACATTTTAGGGACTAAGTTTAGGAGTCCTTGTGAAATATTCCCATAGTAGGTGAATAATATACTGTAGTAAGAATATCCCCATAGCAGACATTTGTTGAATAAATGAATATCGGGACTTCCCATTCCTAGAATGACAGAGAGAGACAAGAACATGGAAGCTGAGAGATGACAGTGTGATATCTTATCTGATGGAGGAGCTTTAGAAATGGTTCTACAAGATTGGTTTGATGGGTTTTGGGAAAACCCTAAAATAATATACAAGACGTGACTATTTAAGACTGTTCTGTGAGAATAACATACATATTTCTAGCAAATTATCATCAAAATTTAATTATATACATGGATCACATCAAACTCCTCATTTTACAAGCAAAGCATAAGGCAGTTAAGTGATTGTTCCGAAGTCTATAAGCTTATTATCAACAAAGTTACAGGTAGAAGTCAGGTCGTCTGAATCTCAAGATTGCTCTCTTTCCACTGCCACAAAGCAGTGGGCATGAGAGAGGAAAAGGAGATAGCAGAAATACTAAGAAATGTTTTAACTGGTTCATTTACTTATTCAATAAGCATTTTGAGCACAGCTCTGGTCACTGATTTAGGCACTACAGACAGAATAGCAAAACAGCAAAGGCCCCTTCCCTGGAGAAGTTTACATTCTAACAGTAACTGAAGAGTGATTGCGGGGTTCACTGTATTATCAAGACGAGAAAACATCATTATCTAAAGTTATTACTTGAATTACATAGAAAACACTCTTATGGTGATTTTGTTTTCGCCAGAAGTTATAGCCTCTCATATATTCCTCATTCATGTATTAATTTGTTTATTTATTCAGATAAACACTATTGAATGTCTATGAATGACCATCAGCTGACCTTCATCAACAACATCTGTTGACTAGGTGCTCCAATGCCATAACAGTTCTGCTAGATGACTTCTAAAACTGGTCCAGACCAGTTATGGTCCATACAGTTTCTCCTTAAGAGACTTCAGATCCACTGACAAGTCCATCAGGGACTTAAAAATAGCATTCAAGAAGAGCGAAGTATGTGGGCCCTGCATCGCATTGACTCCTACACTAATAAAAACTGTAATAATGTTGAAATTTAGGTTTCTTTGAAGCTCTATGTATTTAGTTTTCAGTTTTGATGTGATATAAGAGGATAATTCTTTTTTCTCATTGGACCATATGAAGGAATTGAAGAGGTGAAGATAGACCAAGTAAAAATCTTCATGCAATATTGTAGTATTATTGCTTTATATTTTTCTGTGGGTTAAGGTGTTAATATTATCATAAAAGTTTAAATTGCAATGCAGTGTGAGGTTCCTAACAGATGAGAAAGTGTTTTTGTTGTTTCTTAAGTTCTAAAGAAAATGAATATTGTCATTCTCAATGTTTCTTCTTTTCTCTCCGATTTCTTCTAGTTCTTTGCGTTCGAGACAAACCAACCTATTTTGCTTATAGATTACATAGTGCAATCCATGTAAGTAAGAAACATGCCTATTGTTCAAATTTTTCCAGAAATTATTACTATTTTCTCAAAAGATTAATTTTACTTCCATTACTTCAGTTTTGAGTCCTGTTTTTGAACTTGTACATAAATATATACATGTCTAAGGAAATATACCCAAGTGGGAAAAAATGTATTCTACACCAAAAATACTACCAATTAAAGAAGCATGACACCCTACTTTCTATATCAAAATACAGAAAGTACTGAAGTATGGTTCTCTATCTATCCTATGTACTCTAGAGCTTCTTAACTCCTACAGGAACTGGTAAATTCAAATGTTTTTGTATATTTCCAAATCCCCATTAAATCATACATATGCAAGTACAAATTAGGACATCAAGTAGAAAATGTCAAAACATTACAAACTTGGCTCGGCACCTGTGGCTCAGGTGGCTGTGGTGCCAGCCACATACACCCAAGGTGACGGGTTCAAATCTGACCTAGGCCCACCAAACAACAATGACGGCTGC